AGCATATATTGGACATTACAATAAATATTGTCTGTCTAGGTAGGCTACAGGGCGAGAGGGAGATAAAATATCACTGAAAAAAAAAGGGTGGCGGGGGATAAATTGAACTGTATTTAGAATGTAATGTATTTATATAAAAAACTATTATATATGCATCTCGAATAATTTTCATCTTTCAAGGGAGGTAACTTACACCAAAATACCAATTCATTATTTTGTAAAGTTGGCCGAGGTAAATTGAAAAGATTATTATGCACCTTACCATTATAAGTGGGTAAAGTACATTTCAGATTTCTTCCATCGACTTTGAACTGATCTTTCGAAGTGATATTATGCCTTTTTTGGATTGTCTAGAAACGACATTTCATAAGAAGACTTGCTATCAATAAGGCTTTTCATTTTACTTCGGCCAACTTTACATAATAATGAATTGGAATTTTGATGTAAGTTACCTCCCTTGAAAGATGAAAATTATTCAAGTTATCTTGGTGTACATTCGGCAACTTTCAGTTACACTGCGGAATGTTTGTAGCTTCTATAAGCGCTTGCTATAGATAATGCTCTAAATATCAGAACTCCAGTTATTTCAATGATTAGCCGGTCCAGATATATTGAAGTAATTAATGTTATATCTTATTATAATTACTAGTATGGAGTAAAAAATTTGTGCTAGTTGTATATAGTCGAGATGTGTTATTGTTTATGGTTATATTGAAGTCATGTGGAATAAATAGTTCCAATCACTCAGTAAACCAAGGTTATTAGTAGTACATGTACGCTACGAACTTAATTTCTTTAATATAAACGAGGTTTTCTTTACTTTAATAAAAGGTGGGAGGGGGTCCCCCTTAGTGATTCTATATGCACCACTCAAACCCAGAGGCGGAGCCAGGTTTACGTCCGATAAGGGGCGAAGGGGCCAGATATCTGAGATTGCCCGAATCTTTAACGTAGTTATTAGATTTTTGCCCGAAAAACTTGCTTTAGGGGCTGCGAATGGGGGCGGCCCCTCTGCACCCCCTTTGGCTCCGCCACCGCTCAAACCGAGTGATACTCAGTTTTCGGGTTATGCGGGTTAACATATGGAATATATGTCGTCAAATATGTTGAAAAGGATATATTATAATCTATTTACTTTCGTAGCTAATAGAAATCATTCTCAGCTGTATGAATCGCCTTTAAAATACATTAAAGTAAAAAAAATTAAATGCATGTAATTTCAGAAAAAAATTAGAGCAGAAGTGACGATAGTCGAACTATCCAGATTGTTAAGAACAATTTCACGTGCATTTATTATCGATCATAATCAAAACGTTTTCTCTGGTGTGCCTTTCTTGGTATATGGATACATTTTGTTGCCGTTTCGATGTCGTCGCTTTTTGCAATCCGAAACTAACGAGTGAAATTGAGCTCTAATAACTGGAAAAGGCAATTTTAGATGACTATATCACTTAAGGAAATACGATTTACAACAGTAAATAAGTTAGAGATCAACTGGATATAATTAGAAGATTTCTAAGCTTCTACACATGTCAATAATCATTATCAATTTATTTATTTATTTAATAAATTACTTCTAATTATTATTTTACTTCTTTTAACTTCAAATCTTCAAATATTTCTTTACGTAACATATCTATTCAAATACTTCCATGTGTATTCAAGGGATTACTCTTAGTAATATGTCTATCATGTTTGCTTAAGATATGGTTATTTTGTCACTACATTATATACTATGTAGTAGACTATAATATCTATACTACATTTCTCCTTTTTGATTCCATTTTTGGCTGTAATGGCAGCCAAGTGCCATTGGTAAGAATATTTATATTGCAAATTATAGTAAACGTAAATCCTGATTGACCCTAATCTGCAGTTAAACTAGCCTACTAGTCAGAGAGGCACAACTTGTAGTCGCTTTTACACTTACCATTCGATTCGTTTCTTACTGAAATCGAGATGACGACTTCCGATTTTCTCGACCTGATTATCGTCTGAGAGTGAAGCTGAGACGGAAAAAGTATCAAGTCGTTCGGACGGGACAATAAACCACAGATTTGCTACGTTCTACCTGTACAGATTCCTCGGCGTCTTCTTAAAATAAGGACGTTAACTTCATTTCATGAACTTATTGAAGGGGATAAGTAAAATGGTATCATTAAGTACATATGCTATAATTGGCCCATACCTGCTGTATCCCAGCCAGATATGCAATCTTTCCATTAAACCTCTAGTGCATTCACCTTTCTTTAAATCTTCAGTAATTTTCTCTGTATCTGCCGACCATGCACTGAAATATCAGATTCCCATAAAAACTGTATCCATTTACAGAACAGCGCGAAACAGTTCTGACGCCAATACCTTTGATTTAATTTGATATTTTGGCTTCAAACTTTATTGAAAATCAGAGATCAAAGTTGAGAATCTAAGAAGATAATTCGATAGATAAAAGAGGCAGAATATCTTTGTTTTCTGCTCTCTGTTTTTAAAGTTGTAGTGTTTCAAAGAATCTGGCAAAGTTACTGTAATTTAAGTATTATTCTGTATGTGTTGAGCAATAATAAAACTACTTTGATGCTTTCCAAGATAATAATTAAAACTTCTCATCAAAGTTATACTATATAGCAGAAATGATCAGTGTATTGCATTGATTAACTTCAAGGGTGTCAAACTCCACTGGGGGCAAAGACGTTTTTGAAAGATAGCATGCCCGGCAAGGTAATATACGCCCACTGGTGGCTTTAATTCTTTATAAAAAATAACTTTCAGTTATTCACTTTTTAAAAAACGTTTCGAAGTGGTAATGAGCAATATTACCAAGTTGTGTCGAAATCCAGCAAGAATGTGTTTTAAGAGTGTTTACGAGATAAAAGTCGAATTCGTTTTCAAAAAACGAGGTCAATAACTTACCTGAATATGCATGAAATGAATAGTATGACAAACGATGGTGTAGAGAGGTGAAAATAATATCTAAGAGCCAAGTAAAACAAGAATTTATTTTTAAATTGAAAAGGGTTTAAATATTGTTATCTATCGACATTACATGGAATTTGAAAAATCCAATCACACTAACTCCAGAAGACACAATTTCAGTGACTTGTTCAAACGACACCTTATTTAGCAAACTAATTCGTTGAAGGCTTATTTCTGCAAAGTCAGCAAATTAAATTGATGAAAACACGGTATTGGAACTGCAGTTGCAGAGTTGTTTTTGAAATATAGGATATAATATATTATCAGTATGATTATACATCTTTCATCTTTATCAGTACTAATTATCATTTTTCCTTTGGTCTAATTACTGATTGTTATTATTTATTAGTAGTAACCAGTCTAACCAAGATATGGTCCATTGTATTCTACCTTTGAAAGATAACTTGCCAGACAAAGTAACATAGGCCACTGACAATTGTTTTTTGAATTAGAGAAATGTAAACCTGAAGTCCTACATATCATTTGGAATTGTGGCTTCATGGATGTTCTGCAGCACAATCTTGAAGAACAAGAGTAAAAAAATGTTTCGATGATTTTTAATATCAATAGGATTCAGGATAGGTTTAATGGACAATCCCACCACATTTCGTGAAATATCTGTCACTAAGCAACGTTTTAGTTGTGCCCTATGCGACACTCTGACATATATGTTAACCCTTCTGCGCACCATGTACCGATACACCAAAAATAAACCACATAGTCAAATTTTTCAAGCTAACGGGATAGGGTTACCCCATTGAACATGACTAATTTTGTGTTGGGGGCTGTATAACACGCATCATTTGTATGAGGTAGACAGTAACATCATTTGTATGAGGTAGATAGTAACATCATTTGTATGAGGTAAACAGTAACATCATTTGTATGAGGTAAACAGTAACATCATTTGTATGAGGTAAACAGTAACATCATTTGTATGAGGTAGACAGTAACATCAATTGTATGAGGCAGACAGTAACATCATTTGTATGAGGTAGATAGTAACATCATTTGTAATTTCTTTTAATTTTTCTTTATTTACGAATCTTACAAAAATAAAAACATAATCTGTACCAATAAACCATAATATAATACATCTTATATAGGAGACTTTCAAAGTAAACAATGTTTAGACTATCATCTTCAGATTCTGTGGAGTACCACACCAACTATAGAGGATGTCTGTATCTAATTAACTTCTAATCTTATATATATCACACATTTTCACCTCACCTGGTCTTTATACGGTATAACCATGTTTATCTTACCTAGTTCTCATTACGCACTACAAGCCTTATCGATATTGTCTTTGCCTTTATTTTTGTGTTGGACGCCAGTTAACTTCTGGTCCGATGCAAATTGAAATGAAAAAGGATTGGACACCCAATGGCATAAACATTTTCTACAAATAACACTAACCCAAGACAAGACCATTCTGATGCCACTATCAGCGCCTTTTTTGAATGTTGATTTTGAGATGCGCTCTATTTATAAATGAAAACAAAAGACATCAAGAGTTGTGAGCAGATCTTGGTGGGTACCAGAAGTCTCATGTTCCAAAAGCCAAGTGATTTTGCAAATTTTAAGGAAAATATAAAAAGCAATTACATGAATATATCACATACTGAAAACTGAGATTAATTCGTCGCTGTTCCGTAAATACAAGCGCTTTTCCATGGCAAAAACGGCATTTGCATCTTAAAGTTGGTGGTCTCCATCTGCGCAAATCTGGCATTTTCGATTGCTTCGGCTATTTCTTTATTTCGGGATATGGCATTAACATTGTGGTGAAAGAATCTATGGAACAATGAAGACAACCAAATGACATAGTCTTGATTTGTTTCATCAGCTACGTCATCATTATCACGACTTCCGTGAGATTCACGTGTGGTGTGAGCTATATGAGATTCATGGGTCATGTGAGATCTATGAGTTACGCTAGTCCCATGTGTTCCATGTGTTTTTTCTTCATTTTCCGTTCTCTTTGTGCTCTTGTGAGTCCCCTGTCCACCATGGTTATGGCCATGATCAGCTACGTGATCTATGAAGTAAAACGTGCCACCCTAAAATAGATCATAAAATATTTTCTTATCTCACTACATAGTTAAAGTCAATGAAGGCTCTTACGGCCCCTATAATGTGGATAAAGTAAAGTCCAAAGTACAACGTGATGTCACTGTATTCTGGTTTGACTGATATTCTTGAAACTTTTTTTCCATAACTACAAAGCTTCAGTGGGCAGTAATCTGATCCAGTCTTTTTAAATGCATCGTCATTAAAAGCCAGCAAAGTGTACTTACCGGCTTTAAGACTCTTTTAATCTCTTGTAGCACAATTTCTGTACTTGTAACAGAACATAAAACCAAAGTTTCAACCACAGCATCAAACTGCCCGTCTTTAAACCGACTTAAGTCTTCTGCACAACCACAAACAAATTCCTTCAGTTTAATTTTTCGATTGATCTTCGACAGGTTTTCTCGAAGGTACTTTTCATGATGATGATTTGGTTCAAGACATGTGAGGATGGTTCCTACTGGATAGTACTTGAAATTCATTCCAGGGCCTGACCCGATCTCTAGGATGTTCAATGGTCTGCCCTCATCACGAAGTGACTTGAACAAAGCATCCTTTTGGTGTATTAGTCTGGCATGGACTCGTTTACACAAAACACTGAAAAGGGCTGCCACAATTTGCTTTTTAAACGCTATCACAAGCCCAATTATGCTCATCACCATAAATATCAGCATTAAATACTTGCTATATTGTTCATTCCCGTCGTTCTCCATGTTTAATCTTATTATCTTCTTTTTTGAAAAAAATATGTTGACCTTATAATATCAATTTAGTCTATTTATAGCACAGTCAGAACAGTCAGCTTGAATGAACAAGTTAAAATATAGGACTCCGTCACTAAGCGTACTTACATCATGTACAGTTTGAGCATAAACTTGAGGCTTATATAGGCAATTTGTTGTTGCACAATATTGTACATTCTATGGAACTATCGAGAACCGTACACGTGTACTACGTGCACGTAGCCGTTTTCAAAGGACATGACCATATTTCCGGTCAGTGGTCAATAGAAGATTCTCGAAATTAAATATAGGTCAATGCGTAGTACTACAGACAGTATACTACAAGTAGTCCCTTCCAGAAACAACTTCAGACATCTGGTCAGTGGTCAGTACAGGTCCGTCTTAAAGAAATTCAAAAGAAAGAAGGAAGTTGAGCAAACATGTGAACATAAAAATATGCAAAACATCCATATATAGAAGGTAGAAATATATCTCCACGTCCTATCACAATGGCTTTATTGAAGGACTTGATGGATCAAGGTTTGATAATTTGATAATGTTGTCTTGACTTATAAGGATAGAACTCAAAGTAGTTATCTAGAAAAGAGTCTTTTCAAACAAAAGCCATCTAAGATCAGGATGTATAAATGAGCTAAACAGAAAATGCAAATCTTGTCCAAAAAGAAATGTTTTCTGGATTCATTAGATTAGAATATTATTTGCACAAGTCCACTTGCCCAAGACGGAGTGATGAGGATTATAGCAATTGCCTCTCAACAAGGGACCTGAACTGAACAAAGGAGAATTTGCTCCAAAACAGAGTACCCTACTGTACGAACCTTTTTTTGGTAAGAGGCTTAATTTAGGAATTTCCCCGCCTGTTTATTTTCTACAAAGGTGACTGTGCTTCTTTTGATTGCGTTTTATGCCGAGATCATTACAGATACAGAACCAACTGAAGACATGCTTCACGCTGACTAATGTCACTCTGACATTATCAAATAAAGGTGAAATATAATGTTAAAGCAATTAACAAAGAAATAGGTAGAACTGAATTTACCGCATATCTTTACAGTTCACATCTGGTTGTTCTTGCATTCATATTGCCCTTTAAAATAATTGTCTGATCTTGAAACACCTTGGTACAAAATCTCCAAGTAAGAATAATAATTCAGCCGCTTCATTGGTTCATTACACAAAATCTACCAATCAAATTATATTATGAAGTTACTGTGTAGGCCATGTTCCTCAGAGTGCTTATTTTTGGCGCCACCTGCACGCAACCGTCTGCGTTTTTAAAAGTGGTTAAGTAACAAAAACATGCAGTATGTAAGATAAAAAATCCCTTGGGATGTGTATTTTGAGTGTTAGTTCTTTTCAGGCATTATAGCTATAACACATCACGGCCAAAACTGAAAACTACAATTTGTCACCTGTTTTGGAAAAATCCTAAAAAGCGGAGCCCATACTCCACGCAATGCATTGCCCAAAGGCCTGTTTCTAAATCTGTCTTAGGTCTATTTTTAGATTATCCTTGCATTATTGATCAAAGGTAAGTTGCAGCTTATAATTTGGTGAGAAATCTCTATTGGACCCGCACTCGAAATATACGAGTTCATTAAAGTTTTGAATGGCATTTAGCAATTGTGAGTACGATATATAGACACAGCTTTATGGAACAACAATCACTGGTTAAGGTTTTATGCAACGTTTCGACGTGTTTCCCCCGTCGTCCTCAGGCACATAATGAGAAGAAGTGATGGGCAAACTATATATACATTAATGCTTATTATTAAGAACACACAAGAGATAAATGGTTTATTGATACATTACATTAAATTTTAACAGGTACAATAAGAGGTACATAATTCTTAAAATAACATACAGGCTGATTAAGTAAAATAATTGAAATAAAGTAAATGAATTAAAAAAGATTAATTGAAGATTAAATAAACAACTATTGCTGGTATTGGAGTCTTTTATTAATAGAAATTACATTGTTCATATAACTAACTATGCTTAAAGTTGGAAATTGTTTTTGAATATAAATAATTACAAGTTGATAAGTTTATCATATGCATGCGATAAACGAACACCTTCATCTCTGTTAAGGTCAGGCTGATATCTTCTGATGTGGATAGGTTCATGAAGTCTCCTGGTTTTATCTATGTGCTTATTGATTGTCAGTATGTTGGTGTTGTCAAAGTTCACTTTATGTCCTGTTTTCCTTCCCATAGCAAGATGTTCAGCCACAGCAGATGTTCCTTCATTGCCGGGCTTGTCTTGATGGTCTTTGAGTCGAACATCAAGGGGTCTCTTTGTTTCCCCTATATAAGAGCTTCCACAGGAGCACTCAACGTGGTAGACACATCCCTTAGGTTTTTGGTTGTTGGAGGGATTCAA